TTTTTTTAATGTTTCAAATAATTTAATAATTTAATAAGTTTCTCCAAATATATTAGATCATTCTTTTTTTATTTAAACATGCATACCAAACATAACCATCTGTCTTAATGACACACCGGTTTGTGGAATTTTTGCATAAAGGTTGATTGTCTCCTGTAAGTTTGGTGTAATTCGGTATGCCATATTTATGGTTTATGATTATTATGATGGAGTTGTTCTCGTGAAACTTCTTTAGAAGTAAGCATCAAGTTTAAAAAAAATAAAATCTTAAATTTTTTTTTTTTGACAATTAGTTCTCAGAGGACCCCGGAAACTACATAGTAATAGTAATAGTAATAGTTATCAAATTTATCACATGACTTTCAAAATCAATAATCAATTTCTTTTTGTGAATTCTTCAATGGGATTTATATCTTTTAATTGAAGATTCAGCAGCTTGCAATAAAGTCAATCCTTTCTATAGTAATCCACGTGCTTTGAAGCTCTTAATGCATATCTTCTGACTTGCTTCATTGGTATGGAATTAAAGGCATTTGAGATATTTTCTTGAGGACATTTCCAAATGTAATTGCTATACAGCTTGTGAGCTTGCTCACATGGAGCTTTAATTTCAATTCACAATGAAGTTTTAGGTAGAAGATAACTTTGACCTCTTGGTACAATTAATCCTTGGAGTAACAGTAATGATTTTTGGTGTTTAAAGTCATCTTTGGTTGCTAAAATGGGCTTGCTCAACTAGTTAGAGAGAGCTTATAAGAAGAAAGGATGGTTGGTTATTTTCATATTAGCAGCAGCAAGTTTGATGATTTAATTTTCTTTTTAATATTTGGCACGTGAATGATAATTTGGGCCAAAATTATATGTTTCAAATTCGGATGCCCTTCCTGACACTAAAATTAAAGGTGTAAGACGTGTTATTATAAATGATGTAAATATACAGTTATTTAATCATGAATTCAATTATTATCCCTTAAACGTGCAAGAATTCCGTGCTAATCAGCATGGAATTTTTTAAAAAATGTAGACCCCTACTAGACAAAAAAATTACTAATTGACCACCGATTTTTTTTTGATTTTTCGATGAAGTTTGCATATTAATATGTTGTGCGTGAAAATCAAATTAAATTTTGGGGTGGGTGTTTGAATACAAAATTCTGATTGGCTAATTTGAATTTCACGCGCGTGAAATTCAAATTGACGCAGATTCCAAAATCACGCACAACAGTCAGACTTTCCTCACTCAACAAAAAAAAAACATCTTATTGATTAAAAGCTGTTCATTTTAAAATGAGTAATTATAATGAGAGTATACAACCATGGGTTGAAAAATAGTGAGTTACATTACCTTTAATGTAAAATAAAGGATAATTGGATAAAATATAGTTAACATTTACTTTTTTTCAAGTCGCCCAAAAGACATTGATAGCGTTAGCTCACAAGAACAAACTATTGCGGTTTTAAAAACAACACTCAAGTCACAAAATGTAAGAAATTTGTTTAAAAGACACATTTTGTATAATTTTTTTTTAGTTTATTATATAAATTAATTGAATCTATCAATTTAAATAAATAGTTGCCACATATGTTGTTTTATGGACCTCCAGGAACTGGAAAAACTTCAACAATATTAGCTTTAGCTCATGAATTGTTTGGGTAAAAAAAAAAATTGTATATTTTTGAATCAAATTATACATGAATCTTTTATGTTTATTTACACAATTATGGTTGGTTTATCATCAGTCCAGAATTAATGAAAAGTCGTGTTTTGGAATTGAATGCATCAGATGAACGTGGAATTCAAGTTATTAGGGAAAAGGTAAAAAATTTTGCACGTGCAACAGTTAGTCGACATGTAAGGTGATTAGAATTTATTTAATGAAAGCAATTAATTTATTAGATTAAAAATTCAGAGTAATGGTTTTAACATGATCTGGAAATTTTTTTTTACCTACATATGGTTAATAATAAGCGAATATCCTTGTCCACCTTACAAAATCATTATACTGGATGAAGCTGATTCATTGACACATGATGCTCAAACAGCTTTAAGACACATAATGGAAAATTATTCTAGAATCACTCGTTTCTGTTTGATTTGTAATTATGTTAGCCGGTAATTAAATTTAATATACATTCACTAATTGTTTCCCCCCAAAAAAATTATTTTTCAAATATAAATATACATTATTAAAATCTGAAAAAAAGTTTGTTCGACATGTTACACATTAATTATTTATCCTATTGGATTTTTTTTTGGTAGGACAGACGCGAATTGATTTTTTTTTTTTTTTTTTTTTTTTTGTTTTTGGAAAAACAAAAAAACAATTTATTTTTTGACAGAGTCCAAGGTGACAAAACGTGAGTGTTTTTGTTTGATTTGGTTTGGGTCTCCTAAAGAAGAAGCGTTAATAACTAACCAGAGGCACTCTTTTTTACTTGTATTGTTTTTTTTCTT